TTACTAAGAGAAATATAAAAGCATATGTCCACTTGAAGACTTGTAAACAGCAGCATTATTGTTACAGTCAAAATCTGAAAAACAACCCAAATGTCTATCAAACAGTGGAAATTAATTGTGGCATACCCATACTATGGTATACTACTCAGCAATGAAAAGAAACAAAATAACACCTACAACTACATGGACAAATCTCTAAAACACGATGCTAAGTGAAAAAAATCAAACATGAAAGGCTACACACTGTACAAGTCCATTTATATGACATTATAAAGAAATTAAAACTATAGTGATAAAAATCCAATCAGTTGTTGCCTTGGGCTGGGGATCACGATCAACTGCAAAGAGTCATGAGAAAACCATGTAAGGTGACGAAAATGGTCCTATACCTTGATTGTGGGGGTGGTTACACCACTGTATACAATTATCAAAACCCAAACTCTACATTTAAAATGGGTGAACGGTATTATATGTAAATTACACCTGAATGGGCTGGGGAGGAAAAATCTATAAGGCAAGTACCATTTGCTAACAAATAACAGAAACTTTCTCATACACAGTTTTAAATAAACAATGATGTAATTCCAGCAAAGTAAAATGACGCTCTAGTATTTTTTCTAGTATCATTCAAAAAGTTTATATTATATTCTAAAAATAATTCCATACTGCAAATGTGAGATGAGCGCCTTATGCACTTTCTGTACTTCTAAGTTACACAGTAATCTTTTCAATATAGAGTTGCCTTAAACAGTCAATTTAAGCACAACTAATTTTTATTCCTAAATCCTTTCCAAAGTCCTATAAAGACCTTGGTTGTTTCTTTAGTGTTCATTCCTCTGATGACAAATTTTTGCTCCATTAATATGAAATTGATGCTCTAATTCCAATACCTTTTTGCTTTAATATCATCTCACAGTTTAATCATTTGGAAGACTTTTAAATGACAAACTCAACTTGTCTGGTATCAATAACACAAATAACTACAATCTAACTGAAACTGTCATGACTATTGCCTGGTCACTCACTTTAAAGAGCCATCCCAATTTGAAAGATGTTAAAGTGACAAAAAAAAAAAAAAACAACCTATAATGGAAAAGTATGGTTCCTTTTCATTCTTTTCAAGGATAGATGTAAATTGTAAACTACTTCTTAACCAGCCTTCTTATGCTTGTTTTAATTATGGGTATGACCTGGTGAACCCAGATCCCTGCCCCAAACAGGAATAATTAAAGAACAACAAAAAGTGCTGCTGCCAGGCCTTTGATTTGCAAAGTGGGATAAGCTGGCTTGTATTCAGAGCTGAATGGCAAGGCAAGAGATTTTAGAGCCTGGTGAGAGAAAAGGAGACAAACCTGGCAACTGGGTAGGCCGAGAGACATATTATTGAGAGGTAGCTTTCCAAGCCCACCCAAATGCCTAATGCCTCCTAAAGATGAAAAGCACATAATCCCTACCTCAAAGAGGTTGAAGTCTATTGAGAAAATGTAAGAACAATAATCATATGATTATTGCTTTAATGGAGAATATAAAAGACAAAACAAAAATATGGAATTACATAAGTGCCTAAAGTCAATCTGTTTGGAGCAGTCAGGCAAGGATTCAGAGAACAGGTGGCTGGCTCTTGATGGAGACCAGAAAGATGAGTAAGATTTTGCCAGTGAATAAGCAGGGAGATGGCATTCCAAGCAATGAATAAAACATATGCATAATATTATTATTATTATGTGGCAGGCACTGTTATAAGCACTTTACGCATGCTGCCTCATTAAAAGATAAGATTTAAAATAGGATAAAAATATTTGATCTGACTCAGAACTCACTTTTCAAATAGCCCTAACTACAGGGCATTGGTAAAAACAATTAACAGAGACTGTTTCATCATCGCAGCTGTTGCAGCGGCATTACCAGTTGGGACTACCAAGAAACTAAACAAAAGCTTAAAGGAAAAAAACTAGGGAAATGAGATGTTCATAAGGGGCTTTGAAAAGCTCTGACATATCCCAGGGAACCATGTGCAGGGCTATGTGCATGCCCAAGAAAGACCTTAGCGAAGCTCTCATCTGTCTGACTTTGAGGTTCTGTGGCATACAAGGTGGCTAAGGCCCCAATACAGAGAGCTCTGCAAGGAAGGTGTGGAGACTTACTGGTTCAAGACATTTAAGGAAACCTCTGTCCAATCATCAGCTGTCCAGTAAGCTAAGAGAGCTGCAACTTCAGTGGCCACAGAGAATATAGCCTATTTAGTCCTGGAAAAGTCACTCACCAACAACAAACCATGTGTGAGAGAGACTGGGGCTGGGACGAAAAGAGGGCACATCTAAATACCAGTGTTGACACATTATGTAAAATATTTGATTTTCGGCCGGGTGCGGTGGCTCACGCCTGTAATCCTAGCACTCCGGGAGGCCGAGGCGGGCAGATTGTTTGAGCTCAGGAGTTCGAAACTAGCCTGAGGAAGAGCGAGACCCTGTCTCTACTAAAAACAGAAAGAAATTAATCAGACAACTAAAAAATTATAGAAAAAATTAGC